AGTGCTGCATGCATAGAATATCAGGGTTGGAAGGGACCTCACGAGGTATCTAGTCCAACCCCCTGCTCAAAGCAGGACCAATTCCCAACTAAATCATCCCAGCCAGGGCATTGTCAAGTCTGACCTTAAAAACTCCTAAGGAAGGAGATTCCACCACCTCCCTAGGGCACCCATTCCAGTGCTTCACCACCCTCCTAGTGAAAAAGTTTTTCCTAATATCCAATCTAAGCCTCCCCCACTGCAACTTGAGACCGTTACCCCTTGTTCTGGTATCTGCCACCACTGAGAACAGTCTAGATCCATCCTCTTTGGAACCCCCCTTCAAGTAGCTGAAACCAGCTATCAAATCCCCCCTCATTCTTCTCTTCTGCAGACTAAACAATCCCAGTTCCCTCAGCCTCTCCTCATAAGTCATGTGCTCCAGCCCCCTAATCATTTTTGTTGCCCTCCGCTGGACTCTTTCCTATTTTTCCACATCCTTCTTGTAGTGTGGGGCCCAAAACTGGACACAGTACTCCAGATGAGGCCTCACCAATGCCAAATACAGGGGAATGATCACATCCCTCAATCTACTGGCAATGCCCCTACTTATACAGCCCAAAATGCCGTTAGCCTTCTTGGCAACAAGGGCACACTGTCTACTTGTATCCAGCTTCTCGTCCACTGTAACCCTGTAACGATGCTGGTTCTCGCGGGACCCAACTGAGAGTGCCAGTTCAAGACAAATTGGTCAAACAGGGCAGTTACAGCCCAAGGCTGGGGTTTTTGCACCTCCTAAGGCAAACCAAACCAGCCAGACAAAGAGGACTTTGGTCTCACCCCACTGGCTAACCACAAGTCACACAAGCAATTCCCTTAGACACTCCAGTTTCCCAGTATCACCACCAGTACCACTCGTTATGGGGACAAATGGTTATGAAAACCAATACCCCAGTAAAAGAAAAAAGGTTCTCTCAATCCCATAGGACCAAGCCCCAGACCCAGGTCAATATACAAATGCTGCCAATCCTTTAGAATCTAAAATCTAAAGGTTTATTCATAAAAGGAAAAGAGAGAGGAGTTAGAATTGGTTAAATGGAATCAATTACATACAGTAATGGCAAAGTTCTTAGTACAGGCTTGTGGCAGTGATAGAATAAACTGCAGGTTCAAATCAAGTCTCTGGAACATCCCCAGCTGGGATGGGTCATCAGTCCTTTGTGTAGGACTTCAGTTTGTAGCAAAGTCCCTCCAGAGGTCAGAAGCAGGATTGAAGACAAGATGGAGATGAGGCATCAGCTGCCTAGCCACTCAGTCCCTAGTCTGTAGCAGTGCATGGGATTCTTCCGTCCTAAGTGCAGGACTCTGCACTTGTCCTTGTTGAACCTCATCAGGTTTCTTTTGGCCCAAACCTCTAACTTGTCTAGGTCCTTCTATATCTTATCTCTACCTTCCAGTGTATCTACCACTCCTCCCAGTTTAGTGTCATCTGCAAACTTGCTTAGGGTGCAGTCCACGCCATCCTCCAGATCATTAATGAAGATATTGAACAAAACCGGCCCCAGGACCGACCCTTGGGGCACTCCGCTTGAAACCGGCTGCCAACTAGACATGGAGCCATTGATCACTACCCGTTGAGCCCGACGATCTAGCCAGCTTTCTATCCACCTTATAGTCCATTCATCCAGCCCATGTGGTCTCTGCCAGCAAGTTAAAGTATCAAAAGCTTTGCTGAAGTCAAGGAATAACACATCCACTGCTTTCCCCTCATCCACAGAGCCAGTTATCTCCTCATAGAAGGCAATCCAGGTTAGTCAGGCATGACTCGCCCTTGGTGAATCCATGCTGACTGTTCCTGATCACTTTCCTCTCCTCTAAGTGCCTCAGAATTGATTCCTTGAGGACCTGCTCCATGATTTTTCCAGGGACTGAGGTGAGGCTGACTGGCCTGTAGTTCCCCGGATCCTCCTCCTTCCCTCTTTTAAAGATGGCCACTACATTAGCCTTTCTCCAGTGAGCCGAGACCTCCCCCTATTGCCTTGTGTTCTTCCAGAATGTGGAGGGGGGCTAAACTTAACTCTGTATTTCTTGGTTTTCAGAGGTTTAAGGCGACACCTCTGCTCCCCCACATAACCTTAACTCCGTACCTACTGCCAACTGCAGCAGAGCAGTGACACAACCAACTTCTCTGGTTCTTACTAGCTTTTTAGCACACACCTCAAACTACACCTCTGATCCTCCCCAAACTGCTACAACTGCTCAGAATTTATCTTGGCTAGCGTGTGGCACCTAGTTCCCTTTTGGGGAAGCAATTTGAAACCCTTACATAGGGTAAAGTGGGGAACTACAACATGAGTTAAGTCAAACAGACCCACCAAAGAGTGAAATTCACATGTGCAGCAGGACTAGAGCTGTGGTCATTAAATCTGAGCAGCACCATATGTTCTGAGTTTGAGTCCTAACCTTGGTGACTTTCAAAGAATGTGTTCTGTAGGCAGTGCCAGCTTTAGCAGGTGCAGGGCCCTATGCTGGGATGTGATTTTGCCTTTCACCCCCCCGCCCAACTCCACCCTGGCCCCATGTCTTCCCCAAGCACTCAGCATTCCTCCTCCTCATCCCTCCCTCCCAGGCTTGCGCTGATCAGCTGTATGGTGGCACAAGTGCTGGAGGGAGTGGGGACAAGCAGGATGCGGCTTTTTTTTTTTCTCTCTCGCCCCCCCGCCGGCAGCCCCAGATGTTGCAGGGCCCCATTCTGGGGAATCAGCCGAATCAACTTAAAGCCGGCCCTGTCTGTAGGTTACCTGCCACTCAAGGACAGTCTAACTCCTTCCCTTTGCTATGCAAAATTCAAGTTTAGATCAGTGTAGCAGAAGTGCCATCCTAGCTGGGCTAATCTTCCCCCATCAGAAAGGCCTGCCTTCCTGCCTAACAACCAGCTCCTGGGCTTTCAAATCTAATCAGTACTGAGCTGAGCCAAACCTACCCAGCCCTAACTGGAGTCTTCCCACAGTTCTTGGCCCAAGCCAGGATTCTCACTCCACACAGAGTCTGGTTGCTCTCCTCACTAACCAGTCCTCAGTCAGTGTGCTTTCATCTTCTTAAGCCTACCACCCAGTGCAGGTGTAGCTGGGTGGGGCTAATTGACCCATGGTGGCTTTTTAACCCCTTATTTGATGCAGGGTTTGCCTACCCTGTCACAATCAGCTCTTGCACTGAGACTCCACCATTGGCAGAGTGCTGAGGTCTGGCAGTTCTGATCTTTGGGGCTGTGTCCTGGAGCTGGTTCCTAAAGAACTTCCTTTTGGACCCCAGTTTATATAGCGAAACTTGAGTCTTGCATAAACAATAGGGAAGTGGGACCAATAAAGACAAAACAATAAAGAGGTAGAGATTTCACAATCAAACTGTTCAGTGATTTCTTGCCAGACAGATGCCATCACACAGTTTTCTTTAACCATCTGAAGATCTGTCTCTTTATCTGGTGATGATAGATCCTATCAGAACAGGAGCCTCCCTCGTCCCCCGATAGTTCATTGGTTTGGTATCATTTAGAGGGAATGTGGGACCTGCCTTTCTGCTTCTTGGCTCAGGGCTGCCGCCTGCTAATGTGGCTGCAGAAAAGCCTCAGACCCCACAGCAACAGATTTTTGTTTGTTTTTAATTTAAAGGGTGTAGAGCTCTGCCTCTAATCCTATGCAGAACACACAGGAGGAACCGCAATTTTCAAGGCAATATGAGTAAGCAGGAATATTTTAGAGCATGTAGATACTAGCTGTTAAGATTGAGGCTATTTTACTCTTTAACTGTAATGGTGCTATAAAAGGTGTCTAACCTGATCTCTCCTAGATTGTTTTAAATACCTACTGAACTATTTTTTACAGTGGAAGGAGATGTCCCATACCTTTCTAAAAACCAGCATGGTTGTGGTGGGTGGCTTTTTTTTTCTTTGTCAGCAATAAACAGCCTGGGAGAGGGAGAGGAGTGTAGTGGGAGTGCATGAATCCCTACTGGAGCATTTACTAGGTGCCTGAAGGCACAAGACTGATTAGCACCTCAGGCATTCTGCATGGACTACTGGATAATGCTCCTCCTGGCACAGCTGAGTGCCCAGATCTCTTTAGGGTGAGGGAGGGTTCCTCTGATATGCATCTGGTGCCTTTGCAGTGAAAGGAAGAGGGAGGGGTGGGTTTCTCCCAGAGGACAAGGTGCTCCTACATAAGGGTAGAGTACCGTGGTATGGCAATAGGCAGAATAGGGCATGGGGTGATGAACAGACAAGTAATGAATCATCAGGCCCCCAGCCATGACCCTTCTGCCCAAATGTGCCTGGGTTTCCTCCCCAGAAGCCAGTTAGTGAATAGGGTTCGATGATGAGGCCCAATCCCTTCATCTTGCATTTCACCGGGGTCCCAGGCTGGGCTGTGGGATGAGGGGGTGGGGTGGAGAGGGCTTAAGGGAGTAAAAATGTGTGACTGGGCCCATTATATTTTAGCCACGTTCCCCTGCACACTCCCCTTCTCTTCATCCAATCAGCTCTCACTCGATCTCCCACCTCACAAACTGCTTTCCCTTCCTTCCACCACATCATCATGCCACCCTTCACAGTCCCCCCCTCCTCAGTCTCCTGAACTCCCCCACAAGGAGTTCCTCTTGTATACCGTTCTAGGATCTCTCTCCTCATGCAGCACTTCGTCTCCTCCAGCACACATCTTCTCACTTCCCATATACACCTCCTCACAAGGGCCCCTCCTTCACATACTCCCTCACACTAATTCCACTTCCCCACCCTGCTCCAGCAGGAGAATCTCCATGTTTTCTGGGAAGCAGAAGGAAGCTGTTATCCTCAGGTGAGGTGGTCCTAGGGTGGAGAATAGGGGGCTTTGGACAGTGTCTCCAGGTCCCAGGAAGTACCTGGGGAGTGAGGCAGGCAGTACCTTCCACTCCAATGCCACGCAGATGGAAAGGAGGAGGTGGTCTATTGTGAATAGGAATAAAAGTGGGCACTGGGTATCTAATTCTCTCTCTGTACCTCATCCACAGGCTCTCACTCTCTGCGCTACTTCTACACAGGGGTGTCTGATCCAGGATCTGGGATACCAATACCCCAGTTTATTGCAGTTCAGTATTTGGATGACCAGCTTGTTGCTCATTATGACAGTGAAACTCAACAAAAGGAGCCCCGAAAGCAATGGGTAGAAGAGAACTTCAGGCAAGACCATTGGAAAAAATATACAGAGGTCCTAAAGGGTTGGCAACAGATATTCAGAGTGAGCTTGGGAACTCTGCGAGACCGCTACAACCAGAGTGGAGGTAAGTGTGAGGCACAGAGTCCACACCCCCCATATTCCCTCCCCATCAGGACTGTGTTGGGAGGGGGGGGGAGTGTTAGTGTGAATGACAGTACTGCAAACCCCAAGATTTTAAAAATTCTTGATTCAGGCACCCAAAACTGAGATTATTTTTTTAAAAGTCAGATTGATTGTTTTTCATGTGCCTTCTGATTTTATAGTCTTTAGGGCAAAGCTCCCCTCTTAACGTGTGAGTGTTGCCAATTGTCATATTCATAATCTTAAGGCAATTTAATTTTAAACCTGCAATGAGCACACACAAGTCAAGAAGAGGAGAGCTTTACTCTAAGGACTACAAATGTTAAGACTGGAAAAGACAGTTATGTTTATCCAGTCTAACCTCCTGCATAACACAGGCTACAGAATGCCTCCCACAGATTCCTGCATAGGAAGGAATAGATACTACGCTTGGACCACAGCTCAAAGTTCCTTGCAATGTAAGTGATATTAGCCCCATAATTTGCTGTTGAGTTAGCGTGGATCTTTTATAAGAACACCAAAGTAATTTAAAGGCTCCAAAGGACAGGAAATACACCATCCTGTTGGGAAGCTGATCTAATGGTTAATTAACCTTGCTGTTAAAAAGTTTCTTCTTTTTTTCCTCAGAATGTGAACCATTGCCTGCTGGGTGCAGTGCTTTCTGTTAGAATTTTCTATCTATAATCTGTAGGAACTCTTAAGGCCTGATCTATACCTAAAACTTAGGTCTATCTAGCTACATCACTCAGGGCTGTGAGAAATTTCACATGCAACATAGTTAGGTCAACCTAACCCCCCACTATAGACACAGCTAGGATGACAGAAAACAGAAGAACCTTTACGTTGACCTAACTATCACCTCTTGGGGACGTGGATTAACTAGATTGATGGAAAAATGGTTAAGGAACCATTCATTCTGTTCTCTAGACAGATCGGGAGGGCCCTTTAAGAGACCCAGTGCCCCATATGGGCTTTTCTCTTTTTAGTACTCTGATCCATAAGCATTGAAGGGCCTGTGCTTCCCAATTGTCTATATAACAGGTGGGGGCCACTGATGTGGAGCGCTTCCCTCCTCTTGTATCCGCTCTGAGTTTCCTAAATAGGGGGCTAGTGAGGGATTTTTCACTCCACTTATGAATCCTTTTCTCTCCACCCCCCCCCCCCCCACGCATCAGCAATACTAGCTCTGTCATGTTGTTCCTCATACAGGATGATTTGCAGCCCCACCTGTTTCTCCCTTAGCCACAAGCACCAGATATCTGCAGAGAATTATTCCCTTACTATCACTCGATATTTTGTGACAGAACCAAGGGTTGCTCATTGTTAGTCTCCTTAATATCCTCCCTTCTTATAGCTGGTTAATCCCTCCTGGCTAGTCTAGCTGGTGTAATCCAGAAGACTGGTCCCCTACTGCTGAGCCTGGCCAACTTCAAATACTCACACAAATGTGGGGCCTTCCCCAGAGGTTGAGAGAGAGGCTCCACTCACCTTCCCTAAAACCCTTGAATGGGGGAGCTGCAATTCTGTCTCCTGCTATCCTCCTCCCTTAGCTATCTACCCCTCCTTCTCTCCTGCCCCTGCTCACCACCTACCCTGTATTTGTTCTCCCTCCTCACAGTCCCAGGGATGCCAACTCTTGGGATAGTATTGAGTCCTGTGATTTGGCAGTATTAATACCGGCAGCTCAGAGCTTCTGCCTGTGCTGGGTCTGATTCTGCTATTCTAGCTTAATTCACCACTACACTCACTGCCTTTCACAGTGTGTCTGCTCCACTTGCAGGGTACTGCCTGGGTAGAGACGGGGACAGATGAGAGCTGACTTGAGTGGTGGGCAGCAGAGGTAGCTCTTATAGATGGGCGCGCCCCCCCCCTTGTTCCACACTTAATGCTGTGCTGCAGAGAGGGTCCAAT